TAGGGAATAAGAAGTAATTTGTCATAACGAAAGAATACCTTTCTGAAATTTGTCTAAGGATACATCAAGAATTTAAACATATAGGAGGGAGAAAAACATGGTTAATAATTAAAGAAGGATTTTACAGTAAAAACGATGATAAAATAATAAAGAGTTTAATCAAGAATTGTAAAGAATGTCAACTTTCAAAAGAAAGAAATTTTCACTATGAACCAGATTTTCAAAACATAATTCCGTCAGAAAAATTAGAAATTATCGCCATTGATTANAAAACTGCTCTTTGCTGCAGTTGGTGTGTTGCCTCGAGCGTTCATTTGATATTTGATATATGATATATTTATATCACCTAAACTTAGTTTTAGTTTTTTTTTTCCTTTTGAATCCCTTTTGTACCATTAATGTTAATTCATTATTATTATTATTGTGAACTGTAATTCTATTTTATTTGTATACAATTGGTTGTTTGTGGTACAGTATTATTGGGTTCGACCTGTTTCTGTACCCACATGAAATAAATAAATAAATAAATAAATAATACCAGATATTCTAAGCCGAAAATTTGTTCATAAATCATCTACAGAAATCATAATTTCACACATAATTTTAAATAATCGTGGTTTTTGATCCGAAAGAAAAATTAAAGAGATACAATCAAGTGAAAAAATAGACTCAATCATTAAAAGAATTAAAGAACAAGGAACATTTGAGGGATATTTTTTAGAAGACAATTTTTTAAAGAAGTTAGTAGGGGTAACATGGTTAATAATTAGAGAAGGATTTTACAGTAAAAACGATGATAAAATAATAAAGACTTTAATCAAGAATTGTAGAGAATGTCAACTTTCAAAAGAAAGAAATTTTCACTATGAACCAGATTTTCAAAACATAATTCCGTCAGAAAAATTAGAAATTATCGCCATTGATTATCTCAGTAATTTACCAAGAACGAGTAAAGGATATAAGAACGTTTTCGTCATTTACGACATCCTTACAAAATTCACAAAACTTATACCTACTCAAAAGTGTGATACGGAAACGTCAATTGAAGGAATACAACGATTTATAGATGAATATGGTAAACATAAAAAAATTCTTGCTGACAATGCCACATACTTCAATAACGAAAGATTTAGAAAATATTTTAATGACTCCGGAATCAAAATAATTTATTGTAGCATAAGACATCCACAAGGAAATCCAAGCGAAAGGGTAATAAAAGAAGTTGTAAAGTATTTAAGAATTATCCTAAACGAAAATCACAATATATGGTCAACCAAGCTAAAAATCATTGAAAAAATTTTAAATCATACACCAAATACCACACATTTAGAAGCACCAATTACTCTTATGACAGGTTTAAACCCACACCGTTTCTGGAAAAGTGAAGAAGATGACCAGATAGAAGAAAGACTAAGGAACATTAGAGAAAAATTGATTAAGAAAGCAGCTTATCGGAAAATACAACAAGAGAAAAGAAAACGAAAAGTTAGAGAATTTGATATTGATGATCTTGTTTTAATAAAAGCTAGAAAAGTTACAGATTTAAAGAGAAAGCAGGTAGCTAAATTAGTGAAACCATTCCAAGGCCCGTATAAAATAATTAATAAATTCGGAAATACTTATGAAATTTTCGATCATATAGAAAATATAAATAAAGGGAAATATCATGTATCATTGTTAGTGCCATTTTTTTTGTGAATTAAATTAAAGAATTTCGTTAAATTAGTAATAAGTTAGTTTAGTTAAGTTAGTTTTACATCTGAAAATTGAAAAACTTGTTTGTCACGTCCGTTCGAAATTTTTTCAATTTTAAAAACGAGAGGTAATGTGATAATTTTAACATTCTTTTAGTTCACCGAGAGAACATAACCTAGAAATTGTGACAGAGAGATTTTTTGTTGGTGAAAATCTTATCTTAAACCGTTTTGTTTGCTTCCAAAAGTATCAATTATTATAGTTCAGCTCCTAAAGCACATTTTTCATCCATCTTTTGAGGTTTTAACGTTATTTTGAGGACGAAATCCTTGATTTAAATTTGAATTTTTCTAACTTTACTCATTGTTGAACTTTGGCGTGTACTCCAATGTATATCTGAAAACAAGAAAAGACAACGTTGAATACGAAGTTTTATTACGTTTCATAAAGGAATAAGGGAGAAATCAACGAAAAAAGAATTTAATTTTGAAGGTTAATTCCGAGAAAAATCAAGAGATGACGCTAGTTTCGAAGCAAGAATTTTGAATTTTGAAAAGGGCGCGAAGCTAAGAGCCAATCAGAAACGAGGAAAAAACAGTTGGAGTGCCGGGGTATATAAGGAGATCGCGAACAGGGAGTGAAAGAGTCGTCGTCTGACCAGCGTCGAATCCACGTCGTCAGATAGAAGAAATTTTGAATCTCAAGAGATAACCTCAAAAATTTAAGATAATTTTTTAAAGTCAAATCAACTTACGATATTAAAATAAAAAGAGAATCATCCTACAACCTATTCCGAGAACTACTGATACTTCTTCGAGATCATCCAAGACCCTATTTCCGAAGAACAAGCAGTTCAATTTCCCGTAGAAGAATCCTGTAGACAATCCAGAAAATTAGTTAGTGCCCCGAACACAAGAGACAATCCATAATCCAGATACCACATTGAACTCCAATCCTTTCTTTTTCGCAGTGAGTCGGATGATAATTTTATTTTCTTATTTAACATAACCTACAAAAAGAAAAATCAAAGAATCAAACTCAAAGAACAACTCACAAGAGTTTCCTATAATTTTGATCAATACTTACTTGTGGGTAAAGATTTATTAGTTTTCTTGAATAACGTTCATTTATTTAACTCTATTTTTCTTCAACGAGTTTGATGACAACTTAAGACGTCGGCCATTTGTTATTTTCAAAGAACGGTTCTAACGAGTTTTATCCTACTCTCTCTCAAACAATAAACGGGTTCTCTCTAATATCGATATTTCAGTCGATAACCGCAGTTATCTATTTTATTTAAAAGTTATCTCTCGTAAATAAGTATTGTTATTAAAGTAAATTTAGGAAAACAATTTTTTTTGTTACTCATAAAACGAGTTAATTTGATTTTGTGTTTAATTAAATGAATTTTTGTTGAACCTGATTAATTTTCTTTTTGAACCTGAACTTGCCCGAAACCCTGAGTTTAATAAGAGTCTCTTAAAATTAATGAAACCCAAATTTATAGTTTAATAACTTGTGTAAAAACACACAAGTAAAACATCACAATATCTGTACAGGATAGTCTGTAGCTACCTGTCCGAAAGAAGGATAATAGCGCCAAACGGAGTGGAATTTGACATATTTTGCGGAGTCCCCCAGGGGTCTGTCTTGGGTCCGACTCTCTGGAACATATTTTATGACGAGGTCCTGCGGATGAAGATGGAGGTTGGAGTCGGTATGGTGGCATATGCAGATGACCTGGCGCTTATAATAACAGGAAAGGATAGGATGAGAGTTGAGGATAAAGCCGGATATGCGGTCAGCCAGGTGTCCCACAAGCTCAGCAACATGGGGATCAAAGTAGCGGCACATAAAACCGAAGTAGTCGTTCTACAAGGAAGAAGAAAAGCACCCACGATGATGATCAAGGTAGACGGAACGGACGTGAAAAGCCTCCCAATGGTAAAATACTTAGGTGTCTACCTGGATAAGGACTCACGATAACGGCTCAAGTGAAGGCAATAAGCGACAAGGCCACGAAGATGTCAAATATATTACGCAGAATAATGCCTAATTTGGGAGGCCCAAGCTCCACCAAGAGGAAATTGTTGGCGACAACTGTGCTGTCAGCTGTGTTGTATGCCGCACAAACATGGAAGTGTGCCCTTAAGTATAAACATTATAAAAATATGCTAAACCGCATCAATAGAAAACTGGCGATAGGAGTGACGTCGGCCTATTGCACGGTATCCACGACAAGTGCCGAAGTAATTGCCAGTATGCCCCCCGTGGACTTACTGGTAGATGAAAGAATAAACCTACATATAAAAGGAAAAGAATTTAAGGCAGCGGCAAGAAACAAAGTCATGGACCAATGGGAAGAAAGGTGGAAGATGCAAGAGGGTTGGACGGCGTCACTCATAAAAGATATTAAATCATGGTGCCAGCGAAAATGGGGGGAACTTAACTACCACCTTACCACCTGACACAGTTCATCACAGGGCATGGAGTATTAGGCAACTACCTGAAGAAAATCAAGAAATCGGACTCAGACATTTACTGGTTTTATGAACAAATAGACACAGCGGAGCATACCGCATTTGTGTGTGAAAGATTTCAAGAACAAAGAGAGAAGTGCCAGGATAAACTAGAGGTAATCTTAAACGCTGATAATATCATACAGCAGATGCTGGACAGCGAGAGGAAATAGAATGTCGTCTCGAGAACGATTACGGAAATGCTGACCATAAAGGAGGCATATGAGAGAGACCGGGAGAAAGCAGTGGATACCAGGTGAGAGGGATGGAGAGTATTAGAGGGGAGGGTCCCGACCTCCCCTCAACCAGGTGACCGGACGTATGGAGTACCGAAAGAAGAGGGATCAATACCGAAGAGGTGAACGAAGAAAAGAAGATAGCATTCCGAAGAAATGCCTTCTGGCGGTTCCGGAGGAAGACGAGGAAAGGGGTTTTTAGTGGGTCGGGGATCCATTCATGGACCCCAACCCCACACTATCTGGCCGACCAATAGCCCAGGCCAGATGTCTGTTCGCAGATTTTCCCCGACCTCGTAAAAAAAAAAAAAAAAGGGTTGGGTTGGGTTAATCAGTGATAAATATTAAAAAAGCTATGGAGGGTAGAAAGGAAATAGAAGCAATAGAGAGTATAAGAAAGACAAGAGATGGGAAGGTATTAATAACAACAAAAAAAGATAAGAATTCCACTAAAACAATAGAAAAGATACTTAGTAATGATAGAGAACAGAAAGTTACCACTAGAGGGCTGATAGAGGGTAACAGGCGGATTTACCTTAACATAAAGGGTATGGAGGTGACAACAACCAGAGAAGAGGTTATAGAGGCTTTGAAGGCGAAAATTGGCAAAACAACAGATGAAACTCCTAGAATAGGAGATTTGAGACCATATGCCCAGAGCAGAAAGGCGGTAACAGTTGAGGTCGATCAAAAGACAGCCGAGAAACTGATGGAAGACAGTAGCATCAGAATAGGACTCGCCCTATGTAATATAGAGCAAAGAGCTAAAATAACCAAATGCTTGAGATGCTGGTCACCATCGCACCTGGTAAGGGACTGCAACGGCGAGGACAGAAGCAATTGGTGTTACAATTGTGGAGGACAAGACCATCTAGCCAAGGAATGTAAAAGTGATCCGAAATGCCCAGACTGTAAAACAGAGGGACATAGTGCGGGCACGGGAAGATGTCCAATATATAGCAAATATCTTCAAAAACTTAGAAGTGAAGGCAAAGACAATAAAGAGCAAATTAAGAAGACCAATGAATCACATGACAAAGAAACAAATAAGTTAGAACCGAAAAGAACTGATGCGAAAGAAGTAGTTACCGAAAAACCTCTAGAAACAGAACAAATGGACACAGACACAAATAAACAGCAGGAACAAAAAGACGACTTCAAGATAGTAGCGAAAGGCAAAAAAGGGAAGAGAAAAGGAAGGACCGCGGAGAACATCCAGGAAACCTCCCCCGAAGTCCCAAGAAAATAAAAGAAATGAGAATAATGCAACTCAACTGCAATAGGAGATGGGACGCCATGGATCTCCTAGAAGCTATAACAAGAGAGCGAAAAGTAGACCTAATTGTAGGACAAGAGCCGAATAAGAGGAGAGCACAGCGTCTACAGACAGACCTTGACGACGACTGTTTCATCCAGATAGGGCAAAAGCTTGGAAGACCTGTAGCCTGGAAAAGAGGAAAGGGATATTTAACGGTGGAGTTGCAGAAGTGGACGGTCACCTCCGTATACTTCTCGCCGAACGATTCAGATGAAAATTTCGAACAACTCTTAGACGTCCTTGCAGCAGACATCAGAAGAACGTGGATCAGAATATGCGCATGACCGAACACGTCAGGAAAGTTTCCGAGAAAGCCAGCAAAGTCTGCAACGTTTTATCGTGTCTGATGCCTAGAAAAGGAGGCCCAAGCAACGCGCGTAGAAACCTATTGGCCACTGTAATCAGATCGGTAACGTTATATGGAGCCCCTGTATGGGAAAGCGCGCTCAGATTCAAGAAATACGCCAAGATACTAAGACTTATCGAAAGAAGAACGGCGATAAGCGCGACATCTGCATACCGTACGGTAGCGACGGAAGCTGTGAGCGCGCTGGCCGGACACCCGCCAATGGACTTACTGGCATGGGAGCGAAGCAGGAACTGGGAGACGAGAGGAGAAAACGCAGAAATAAACAAAGAGAGCATGTTTGAAAAGTGGCAACAGAGGTGGAACGAGTACGGAGGCTGGGCGAAGACGTTCATAAAGAGTGTGAGAGACTGGAAGGAGAAGGGACCCCGAGTGGATTATTACACCACTCAAGCTATAATGGGGCACGGCGAATATCTCAAGAAAATCAAGAAGATTGAATCCGATATCTGTTGGTTCGGGTGTCGGGAGTCAGATACTCCCAGACACACAATATTTAAATGTGCACGTTTTGAGAGGGAAAGGGCAACAATGAACGTAGAACTGGAACATTCAGTCACAGAAGAAAATGTTGCAGACCTGATCATGAAGGATGAAAAACACCAGAACATCATAATAAGATACTTCAGAGAAGTCATGAAAGCGAAAGATGCAGAAGGGAGGACGAAGAGAAGAGTTCACGATAAAGAACAGCATACCCCGATGAAATGCCCCGATGGGCGGATTCCGGGAAGAGAGGGGGAAGGGTTTTAGTCGGTCGGCAACCCAAGAGGGAAGCCAACCCGACATTATCCGGCCGCATGACAACTTAGGCCGGGTGTCTGTTAACAGATTTCCTAATCCCCTCTATAAAAAAAAAACAAAAGGGTTGGGTTGGGTTGGGTTAGTTCACATCGAGCGCTTGACGCGTGAACAACGGTGAATAGCGAGTCCTTGAAATTTTCTCGGAAAAGTTAGAAAATCTAACATATAACCGCGAAAAATCTTTTCAGTGGCTAGGGTTATGACCCGTACCTTTGAGTTTTTTAGTTTCTTTTATTTAGTTTAATCGCGATGGGCTAAGGGACCCTTAAATAGTTGTCACGTGTGTGTTTGTGCCAGAAGGTGTCTGTGCCCGTTCTGTGTTAAGGTTTTGTGTTAAGTGCGAAGTGATAAACCTAGTAAATCAGGCGTAGCTTCCACGGGCGAAAGGACGCGTAATTTAACTAATTACCGGTGAGTTTTGTTTTATTTTATTTTTATTTTTCTTGACCTTTCGGTAAAAGGTTAAGTGGCCGCGAGATCGGGGGTGCGCGCGCGCGAATCCGGCCGGGCGCGAGTGTACGCGATATGCGGAAAGCGGCTCAGAGCGGCAGCGGCCGCGCCCGCTGGAGGGTATCCCGCGCCGTTCCTCTTTTGGGATCGGATCTCGCGATCTTTTCTTCAGCAAACGGAGCTGTTTAAAAATGACTGGGAAGGGCGGCAGTAGAATTCCGGCTCCGGAGCAGAATACAGAAGCAGCTCAGTAGGGGACGATTATAAAAAGAAAAGTATTAGACACATCAATAGATAAAATTGACCCTTATACCACGAAGGAGAGCGTTGAAGCCTTCGTGCTCAGAGAAGCTCTTGACGAGATCATAAAAATACAGGTAGAGCTTGAAAAGAGAATCGAACAAAACACCAAAAGGGAAATCAAAGAGTTGGCAGGGCGAAGGGGCAGTAAGGGTGAAGGGACAGACGGAGGAGAAAAAGAGGAAGATTATAAAGATGTTGTACAAAGACTCTGAAGAGGACCTCTTTGATAATTTCATAAAATTGAAAGATGAGGTAAAAGAGGACGAGTGGGTAGCAATGCACCATTTAAAGCAGATTGGGTTGTCAAAAATGAGAAAGATGTTAGAGGGCGTTTTTCACTCGTCATCCACGAATTTTGTTTTATATAGCAACGAGGAGGAGAGAGCTCAGAAGAGCAGCGACAGACCTAAACGAAATACGTACGCCTTGGTGGTGGAGGGAAAAGGCAGAGCCTACTCCGTCACTTTGAAGGAGGTGAAGAGCACCCTGGTAAAAGCCAACATCAAAGAGGGCATAAAATAGAACCATAAAAAGCACTAGAGGGGGAAAATTACTTATTACAATGGAAAAAGAAGAAGGTACGATGACGAAAATATGTGAGGCAATAGCCACAAACAAGGGAGAAATGAATGTTAAGAGAATTGGAGATGACGTGGTGACAATACATGTGAGAGGCATGGACGCTCTTGTCGAGAAACAAGATATTCAAGAGGCCATTGATGCCGTACTCGTAGATAAAGGGTGTAAAGAACCAATACACATAAAAATAGGAGAACTCCGGCCCATGAGGGACGAGACACAAGCGGTCACTATTAGAGTGGATGAGAAGCATGGAGAAATTCTCTTAAGAGAGAGACATATAAAAATTGGCCTTTCTAGGTGCTATTTTGAAAAAAGGGTAGATGTCGAAAAGTGTGCCAGATGCTGGGGATACGGTCATACCACCACCAGCTGCATCGGCCCTGACCGAAAGAAGCTGTGCTTTAAGTGCGGAAAAGATGGCCATTTAGCAAGCGACTGCAAAAATAAAGATCACTGTCCTATCTGTGATAAAGAGGGACATAGAGCCGGTTCGGGGGGATGTGACTCTTTCAGAGAGGCCCTCACAAAAAAAAGGAGGGAGTACAGAACAGACCAACGAAAAATGTTACAAGAAGGAGAAAAGATAAGAGAAAAAGTAGGGCAGGTAGCAGAGAAGATGTTAACCAATTAAAATGGCTAGCACAATTAGAATTTCGAAAACTTTAACCCTACTACCGATAAATATGAACAGAAAGTTGGAGGCAATGGACCTTTTAAAAAAAACAATTAAAAATGAGTGTGTGGATGTGGCTGTGGTGTCTGAACCTAATAAAAAACGTGTGTTAAGTGAATGTAATTGGTTTTGTGATCTCGTGCAAAGTGTGGCGATATTAATTAATGCAAATAAATTAAAAATCTTGAAACAGGGTGAAGGTGATGGTTATGTGTAACTAGGTGAAGGTGATGGCTAACTTTGAAGGGTAGAGTGTTCATAATTGGCTGTTACCATCCGCCAAACGAACAAATAATAAATTTCCAAAAAAGACTAGACGAGATGGGAGCCCTAATTAGAAATGCAAATGACCACTCTGTACTGGTTATGGGAGATTTTAACGCCAAGTCCCCAGAATGGGGTGCGCAAGCGACCGATAACAGAGGCGATATCCTATCAGTATGGGCTATCTCGTTGGGATTAAGAGTCTTGAATACGGGCGAGGCTACTTGGTGCAGAGGAGATAAACGGTCACATATAGATGTTACCTTATGCAATGATAAGTGCATGGAAAAGGACGTATCATGGGAAATTTCAGACCATGAAAACTTAAGCGACCATAAAGACATTATAATAATTATAAGAGCCCAAAATAAAGTAACTGATAATAGTAGAACAGTGTTAAGGTGGAAAATGAAAAACGTCCCAGAAGAGTTATTGAAGAAGGTAATTAAGAAGGAAACAAAAGGATGGCTTGATAAAGAAATTGGAACCCCCGAAGAACTGGAAAAAATAACTATAGATATTTGCAATAAGGCATTTGGTGGAAGAAAAAACGTTAGAAAAAAGGAAGGAGAAATATACTGGTGGACAGATACGGTCGAGCAATTAAAGAGGAAGTGTTGTAAACTCCGAAGGGTAGTTACAAGAGCAAACAAATGGAATACTCATGGAGAGGAGGTCAAAGAACAAAGGGAGGAATACAAAAGAATGAAAAAACAATTAACAAAACAGATAAGAGATGAAAAGAAAAAGCCTGGAATAACTTAGTGGAAGAACTGGAAAATGACATTTGGGGAGATGCGTATAAGATCGCAACAAAGAAATTTAAATTGGCAAAGCCAAATACAAACACTAACGAAGAAACAGAGGAGATAATCAGAAACTTGTTTCCGATAGACACTCCCCAGAAATGGAATTTTCAGCTAGATAAGAACCCACCAAAAATAGGCGAGGAAGAAGTAATAACTGCGGCAAGATCCCTACGTAAGAAAAAAGCTCCCGGGCCAGATGGCATACCAGCGGAGGTGGTGATTGCAATAACGGAGGAGGTGCCGGAATTGCCAACGAGGGTTTTGAGTCAATTAATAACAACACAAGTTTTCCCTGAAGAATGGAAAAGAGCTAGATTGGCCTTAATTGAAAAACCCAAGAAGAATAAGGATGATAAAACAACATATAGGCCGATTTGTCTACTAAATGCATGGGCCAAGCTATACGAAGTTATTATTAAGAACCATATTACAAATCAGGTAACTGATACAAGTCATTCGTTATCAGAAAATCAATATGGGTTTAGAAAAGGCAAGTCTACTCTGGATGCAGTCCAAAAGATCAAGAGGGTGGTAGAAAACAGCAATAAGTTTGTTAGAGGAAAAAGAAAATTCGTAGTTATGATATCACTGGATGTAAAAAATGCCTTTAATTCCCTGAGATGATGTAAGATAATCGAAGCCATGAAAGGAAAACATATCCCGGAATATCTGGTAAACGTCATAAAGAGCTACCTATTAAATAGAGAGATTGAACATGAGGGAAAAAAGTACAAAATTAACAGGAGTTCCACAGGGCTCAGTTCTGGGACCCCTGTTATGGAACATTACGTATGATGAAGTGCTACAGCTCGAATCTCAAGACGTTACTCTTATAGCGTATGCGCATGATTTAGCTATAATAGCAGTCGGAAAAGCCGAAGACGAATTAAAAGAAACTATTGAATACACCTACAACCGCATAGCATATTGGATGAAAGAACAGGGTCTAGAATTAGCACCACATAAGACCGAAGCAATAATCCTAAAACGACGGAGAAGTTTAAAAAGACTGACACTGGATTTAGGCGGCGTGGAAATCACTTCCAGTAAAACAATGAAGTACCTTGGCGTCGTGCTTGATTACAATATGAAATTTACGGCCCACATAAGGGAGACAGTAAACAAGGCAGAAAGGATTAGAACAGCGCTGAACAGGGTAATGCCTAGAACCAGAGGACGCACGCACTGTAAAAAGAAGATGCTCTGTCAGGTGGTAATATCAGTAGTATTGTTACGGGGGATGGATTGCGCCGAAGAAGAAACAACAGTTGTTGAATAAAACGAAATAATTTATTTACAAAATATGTACACAAAAAAAACCCTCAAAGGTTTTTTTTTAAGACGAAAGGGGTCGTCCTCGAATTGGCGGTTGAAGTGCTGGCTTGTTGTCGCTGTTATCGTTGTCGCTGTTGTTGTCGCTTCGGAGTTCGGTTGGAATTGACCGCTGATGGAAACCCGGCCGCCTTAAATAGGCGCCCTTGGGTAAAACCCTATCAACCGGGCGTTGTGGTTGGTTGGCGACCGTCCGATCCGTAGGTAGGGTTGACGACCAATGGCCAAGCAGATCGAACGGCGCTCAATTCGTACTTGGTGACAGTATTGTACGCTGCTCCTGCATGGGAGGAAGCATTGAAATACGACCACTATAAACGAATGCTACAAAGTCTAAATAGAAAACTGTCAATTAGTTGTATTGGGGCATGCAGAACTATATCAGGCGCTAGTGCGGAAGTTTTGGCAGGTTTACCTCCTCTACATCTATTAGCAGAAGAGAGATCTGTTATATACAGGCAGGTCAGAGAGTATAAGAACAAAGCTAGAGAGGAATTGTTTGCCAAATGGCAACAAACATGGCAAAACTATGAGGGATGGGCGGGACAGCTGATCAAGGACGTTAAAACCTGGACAACCAGGTCCTGGGGAATTATGGACTTTTATATGACCCAGGCCTTTACAGGGCATGTTGTGTTCGGTTCTTACTTAAAAGAAATTAAAAAGAGTGACTCTGGTCAATGCTGGTACTGTGAGCATAGAGATACACCTGATCATACAATATTCGCCTGCCAGGAATTTAGCGTGGAGAGAGCAGAAGCAGAAAGTGCATGCAACTGTAAACTTCAAAAACAAAATATAGTAAATAACATGCTAGAATCAAAAGAGACATGGCATGCAATCGCTGAATTTTTGCGAGCAGTAATGAAAAGGAAAGAAGACGATGAGAAACAGAGACAAGGAAGACAACGAGGCGGATAGGAGAAGGAACAGGGGGGTTTACCTCAAAACCCCCCTAACCGGGTATGAAAATACGCAATGTTATAACAATTAAAATTAATTAGATTCCTATGATTACATGAGCCATTGAAGAGACGAAAGAAGACCCAGGGGAGGCGGAGAAGCAACTAAAGCGTGGATGAAAAAAGAAAAGACGGGAATAACTGGACAACAAAGAGAAGCAGGGGTTTTTTTTTTTTTTTCAAGTGAAACCCCGCCCCCCCCGGCCGGGTACGTATTGAAAACTGTTTGAGACAAAAAGTAACCGGATTTGTATGTTTTTTTTTTGTTATGTCCGAGAGGCTAGGTAGCTGTTTGAGACGATCCGAAGAAACGCCACTCCGGCGGATTCCGGAGAAGACGAGGAAAGGGGTTTTTAGTGGGTCGGGGCTTTCGGGCCACAACCCCACACTATCTGACCGCCTAACATCCCAGGTCAGATGTCTGTTAGCAGATTTTCCCCGACCTCGTTAAAAAAAAAGGTTGGGTTGGGTTCCCCGCAGGGGCCTGGGATATTTCCCAGGTACGGGTTTAGCGAACCCGCGGTACCCGAGCTGGAGGAGCACATACCTCCTTAACCCTTTCGTCCCGGATGGTACATATGTGTACCACAAATGTGTTTTTTGATAAATTTCATGTTTTAGTATTCCGGGACGAGAGGGTTAAAAAAGCTGGGGGCCGTGTGATCCCGGACGGCAGTACCCCATGATTAGCCCCTGTCTGGAGTCACGGGGGATACGGGAATAAGTGTTTAGTGTTTCAATGTGAGTGTAGTGTAACAGTGTTGTGCTGTGAGTGTATACCTGCCGGTAGGTGAAAAACGGGCGCACCTAGGGTAATCTAGGCGCCTGACATCTGGAAATATGATTATCGTGGAACACATAGAAATAGCCTCGGAACAGGACCGGGAGGAGGGTAAGGTCGACCCCCCGGCGACTGACAGACCTGTACGACGAACGAGCGATTGTACAACGGAGACTGGAGAGGATGGGATACAGAAGAAAGCAGAGATGGAAAGAGGAAGCAGAGGAAGATAGTTTAGAGAGAGAATTGAAGAGAACAAGAGATGAAACTCAAAAAGAGGAACAGAAGGAAAAAGAAATGCCTGTTGAAAGAGGAGAGTGCAGCGAAGACAGGGCGGAAAGAAGGCTGTCCTTATACAAAGAACTAAAAGCTGTTGAAATGTTTAAATCGGGGGGAAGAAAAAAAAACCGTAAAAAGTACAGTAGATAATTTAGTTAAGAAAATAGGTGATATGGTAAATTTAATACAACAAAATACTGCGGTACCCCTAAAGAACAGTATTAAAGAGCTACAAGGGGCGATAAAGAGTTTTCGAAAGGTGTATGAAAGGGAAGAAAGAGAGACAAAAGAAAAAATAGAGGTACTGCATAAGCAGTTTGACAGGATGAAAGCTAACATAGATTCGAGAATAGAAGAAGGAAAACGAAAGCATAAGGGAACGGAAATAGGAACACAGACGGAGTTCCCAACCGAAACAAACGAAGAACGCAAAAGAAGGGAAGAAGAAGAAAGTGACGAACTAATAAAAAGTGCAGTAACCTATGATGACTTTAAGAAGGTAGAATTTATGAAGTGGAAAGATCAACACTATAAATGCACCAAAGTAGTAGAAGGAAATCCAATATGGCAGCAAGAGATAACTACGAGAGTGGTGGTTGTGGAACCCGATGATCAAGACATGACTCGCAGTCTTCAAAATCAATATAAAAGGGCATATTCTATACTAGCCGAGTTAAAAGAAACATATGAAGAAGTAGAATTAATAACAAAGACTAAAATCAGGGGGGTGGAAAGAGAAAGAAAGGAAAAGGTTATTAAATTAACCATTGAAAAATCGGATATCTCAGTGTGGAAAATGCTGAACGAACTAAAAGAACAAAACAAAGGGGAAAATAAAGTCGCGATACATCACCTAAGACAAATGACTCTAAACAAGTACAGAAAAATGATAGAGATAGTCTTTAGAGATACAGACACACAAATAGAAGTATACGCAACACAGGCAAAAATAGAGGAAGAAAAAAATAGAGAAATGCGATATGAAAGAAGAACATATGCAATCATAGTCGAAAGACCAGGGAAGACATATGAAGAAACTGTAAAGGGAATAAAGCAACGGTTACAAGGGAGAGTGGAGGTAGACAAAATAGAGGGGATAAGGAGCACAAAAGACGGAAAGGTCTTAATTACGACCCAAAAAGATAAAGAGGCCGTGATGGAAATACAGAAACTGTTGAGAGAGGAGGATGGACAGAAGGTGACAGATAGAGGAATAGAAGAAAGAAAACAGACCAAGACTATTCATATACGAGGACTAATGATAACAACAGAGGAAAATGAAATAATACAGGCGATAAATAGAGACACGGGTTGCGAGAAAAATGAGATAAAGATGAGCTCATTGAGACCATATGCAGAGAGCATGATGGCAGTTACAATAGAATTGGCGGAAGAGAAGGCAAAGAAATCAATGAACAGCAAGAAAATTAGAATAGGACTAGCGATGTGCTCCGTAGAAGAGAGAGTCAATATTAAAAAGTGCTTGAAATGCTGGTCACCTCAACATCTGATTAAAGACTGTACAGGACCAGATAGAAGAAATTGCTGCTATAACTGCGGAGTAGAAGGACATCTGACAAAAGAATGCACGAACCAAACTAG